CTGGACCAAACTGTTCACGATATATTCAGACGGGTAAAATCTCCACAGGCAGACCCATAAACCCCATCTCTGTGGGTTTCTTCTCCTGACCTTGAAGAGGACACGGGGACAAAAGAAATAAATATTCTTCCTTTCCACAAGGAAAATAAGATTAGGCAATTCAGCCCACAGAATTTTGTTTTGTGTAGCAAACTCTTAAGGGTGTTTAATCAGTTTATTCATCCGTGCTCTTCCTTCCTAACAGAAGGTCATCTTAAAAGAGCAATCTCATAACAAAGAATACACACCATTTAACTAGAGAATTTTTGCTTACCTACCGTAATATGGTTAGCATTACATCACACAATTTGTATTTCTTCCCAACTGTTGAGTGTGGGAATGGTATTCACTATAATTGTTGTCTCCTCAGGCCTGTATATTTGTATATTCATAAAATTCCTGGTGTGCATCTTCTGTTAAGTGGTGCAAATAGCAATGAAAGCAACAGTAGCTTGTTCAGAGAAAGCTTATTGCACATGCTTTCGTTTCTCCTTTTTTGAAAGGCTCTGTGATTTCACAGATTAAAAAAAAAAAAGAAAGAAAGAAAGGTTACTTTTTCTTGCAGCTTCCTCCAAAATGATCTGTGGAAAAATGCAGCATAAAGCTCTAGTTAAAAAGCCTTCATTGAACCAGGCCAAATGGAAAACCTGTAAACCTGTGAGACTTGTACCCTATCAAAAAACTGCTGTGTTAAAAAAAAGGCAAACAATGAAAATAGATCTAAAAATATACTAGGTGTGGCAAAATGGAACTTTTTCAGTGGGTGCACAAGAGACTGGGGCTGTAAACAGTTAAGAAGAAAAAAGCCTTTTTGTATTTCACCTTCCTCTCAGGCTCCTGTAATCCATGCCAACACACTGAGCCTTCTAGTATTACTCTGTTAGGCAGTAGGGTGAGAATGTGACAGTAAAACAGATGACCGGACATCCCATACTAGTTGCACTTAATAGCAAAGTATTTTGTTTCAAAGACATGTTATGATAAATCAGCTCTAGGTATTGCAGAAGAGATTGCTAGCACAGATCTCGAAATAAAGTGCTGTTATATCTATATGAAATGTAAAGCAATGAAGAAAGAACCAGTGTTTGCCTGTCTACTTTGATCATTTTAATGATATTATTCAGTCAGCAAAATAACTTGAACTACAGAGTTTTGCCTAAATGTGTATTTACCTCGTAAATTTGTTAGAAAGAGGCTATACATCAAGTGCTAACAATTCAGTTTTCACAGATGTTTACTAAGATCACCTTAAGGAGGTTCATCTTCTTTCAGTTGTATGATGCAGCAAACACATAAGCACACTTAACATTTCATGGCCATCACAGCAAGACTCCATGTGGTATAAGACAGGAGAACTCCATTAATTTTGATGCACAAACATTAGGGCAACTCTGCTAATTTATGCTAACCTTCTTGGCCCAGTAGGAAAAGCATTGCTCTGCAGTGCTCTGACATTGGCCTGTTTCTCTATGGAGATGATGGCTGAATTACAACTCATTATAGAGGCAATCAGGATCAGAACAGTCTAGTATAAATTTGGCCCAATTATCAAAATAACACCCCCATTGACTTCAGAGCTGGGATCCTATTAACCAAATCAAAGAGAGCACTGCACAAAGGACTTGTTTTTCTAACACGCTTAGTGAACTCTCTTTTGTATATTCAGGTGCGCATCTTCCCTTCTCGTCTGCCTTGTGCGACAGAGAACCTGGGCGCTTCCAAAGGCCAGCAGAGAAGGAAAATTCTCATTGTGACGCTTTGTCCCTCCAACATTTTGATTCCTAGTTGAACCAAGCAATTCAGCCTGCATCACCAGCCTTCTTACCAGCCTTGGAGATGCTCATGGCTGAGCTAAGACACTGCATTTTTTTCCTTCCAGAGCCATGTACTAAGATCTATTTGTGACAGCAATATAGTTTGCATATAATTAGGGAAAAAATATTGCATGAAGAAGAAAAGACTAGTTCATAAGTATTTGCATGCGAATTCTAACGTTTGTAAAAAATGAAACTAATTAGGCAATATGAACACTTGCATGTAGTCACAGACAATAAGCGTAAGTGAGAAAGGGGATGCAAAAAAGACCTTCTCAAGCCTTATAGTCACTGATAACACTGATAACAAACTCATAGTTTGTTATCTCCCCTCCTCTGCCAGCAGCACATGATGAAAAAAATACAAAGAATAATGACTGAGGCAAATACAGAATATAGAGCACTTAACTTTATCCTGTGAGCTAATACAATATTGCAATTGTATTACAATGCAAATCACAAAATGGTAGTAACATGAAGCGCAGCTAACTTGCAATCAAGTAATCTTGCTCAAGTAGAAACCCTCTTTTATCCTGTTCTGAACACATGCTAACATGATGCCACCGTAAGAATGATCAATGCCACTAAGAAGCAGTACCGATTGAGTAGTAATGAACTTGACCTAGGTATTTTTCTTATGTGTCATTCAAAACAGCAAATTTCAGAGAACATTTTTAGATCAGCGTTTAATTTCAAGACATACAAGAAGTACATGGATGGTATCAAAAGACAGGATACACTCAGGAGAATTAATTGGATTGTACATGTGCATCAAGACAGTATCAGCTCCAGGTGCTGTTAAACAAAATGAAACAATGAGAAAGCAAATCAGTTTTTTTCTGAGAGGGAAAAAATAGAAATAAGGAATGAGAAAGATCTTGTTCCCTGAGGAAACATATTGATATTTGTTATTATTCTTCTAAAGTATTTAAATGAACAGAGGGAAAATCCAAGTAATTATAACATCAGTATTTGGAGTGAAGGAATACATCAAGCAAGCTGAAAAGCCTTTGACATGGGAAGATGCTACTTCTGCTGAGTTTTCAGAAGATGTGATTAGAGCATGCCAGTGGCCAAGAATGCAGATAATAATACTCCCTAGCAGGTGCCAGAAAGTTCAGCCTCCTAAGGGCAGGGAAGTCTGGACTCTGTGAAGGGCTGTGAGGACCAAAATTTACTGTATAAACAGCAGCAGGCACAAATTAATAATTTTCTTTCTTGTCTTTGGGAATAAAATACTTATTGAGTTATTAAGAGAAATACACTTAAAACTTTTCTACGTTGAAACATTTTTTCATTTATGCATACAGCAAAAATAGTTTGCTGGTCAAATATAAATTTATTTTCATATGAAAGTGTAGCACGATTTTAAAACACAAACAATACCTACTTCTTTGCAATGGACAGCCCAGCCAAGATGCAATGATTTATTCGTCAATCATTTCATGTCAATTAACATTAGACACTAATATTTAATTAGGAGTTTAGATAAAATTGTTTTTTTAGAAATTTTTATTTCCTCCATCATCTGGAAAAATTTGTTAGGCTTTCTCTTTTGAAAATATCAGCATTTTCATAGAAGAATAGAAATTATGACATTTGAATCCTAAACTGATCCGTTATCTGTTGCAAATCTAGTTTAAACTAATCTCAGACATTTGAGATCCACTGAATTTTCAGAGCACCACTGAATCAATACATTGTGTTCAAACTTTGCTTAAACAGCAAGATTTCTGTAGAAGACACTTCTTACCATCCCAAATCCTGTTTTTAAGACCTAAGTGTAAACGAGGATCTAGTAATGACAATGCTCTAGAAAACTGGTATCTCAGAGCTTCATGATATACCTTAAGCAGAAAGGCTGCTAATGAACTAAGGTACATGAGTCTGCAAGACTGGCAAATACTCTAGAAAGGCTGCTAATGAACTAAGGTACATGAGCAGACTGGCAAATACTCTAAGATGCTACTGAGGTTGCTAAAAAGTGTTGAAATGCTTTACTGGGCCATATGTGGGGTCTTACTTTTCGATACACCTCCTTTTCCCTTCCTTTGTAGCTAAAAAACACAAAACAGGATGACAAGATCAACACAGCCAGAATAGAGGCTTGGGGGGGGACGGGACGGGGGGACTTCCTAGTACACAGCCTGCACTTGTCAGCGGCCATCCAGAAGCATTTATGATGATGTCCACCTCTTAGGAGCAACAAGGGCAATGGATGCGAGATACCAGCACACGAAGAATGGAATACAGAACAGCAGACTGGGTAGACGAGAGAGGATGGTCTTGAGTTTATTCATCTTCCACATCTTGCTTTAGAGTAAGGATCAGACCTAGGCAAAGCCTGAAACAACTCTGCAGAAAATGTGTACTTTGCAAATAGATCTGGTACCTCTGTTCTACCTAAGAACCAAGAGGTATTTTAATTCCATTACAAATAAAACAATTAGCTCTTTGTTAAATGACTAAACTTGATTGCAAGTTAGTTAGAGTGCCATGAAAGAAAACATGTTTGGTGAGGTGTTTATGCTGTTTCCAGACACTTTACCCAGAATAGGCGGGTGAAAGAGCTGCAGTATTTTAGTAGAAACTTTATTACCAATTAGTCTGCTTCAGATAATTACAGCAGAATGTGGCTCTATTTTAGCAACAACAAAGTAGAAGATCAGATTTTTTTTCCTCATAAAGGTGAACTGCAAAATGTTTTGATAGGCAGTAAAGGATTTTGACGTACTGCCTTACAGCTTTACTCACACATGGAAGGAGAAATTAACACTGTTGACTATAATGGGAGAAAAAGAACTTGAAATTTACTGAAACTGGCAGTTTCCTGTGTTTGATGTCTATCAAAAGTTTACTGAAACTGGCAGTTTTCTGTTTGGTAGCTGCCAGAATTGTTGAGAGCTACACTGACCCATTTACCCTCACAGCTGACTGCTCTTCTCCCAGTTGGGAATGTACAGCCTAAATGTTAGAAACAGACAGAGAAGAAAGGAACGGGAAAGACTACAATATGATCTAGGAGAATCTATCAACCAAACGGTGATGCACACTCATCGTTAAACCTGAAAGACAAACTGTAAAGTGAGTTTGTAACGAAGGCGGCACAGGTGGTCCAGAGGTAAGCGCTGCTCTGAGAGCGTTTACCTCAGAGAGCATCCACACCCAACACCGCTCTGTCCTTGCCATCCACATCCACTGTCTCCTGCGTAGCGACACGCTGCCCGCGCGACAAGGCCTTCGCGGCTGCTTTCCAGGCTCCTGGCGGGACAGAGGCTCCCCCATCCCCTCACGGGAGCCCCGGGAGGCCGCCCCCCCACCCGCCCGGCTGGGCCGCCGACACGCTGCGCTTCTCCTTCGCACCCGAGACAAGCGGTGACGAAGTGCCCTGTGCGGGGGCCTCCCCGCCTTTGCTTATCCCCGCCTGGCAGCGGCGCAGGGGTAACGGTACCTCACAGCTGGGCGACGTGTACCTCACTTCACCGCGCCCGGGTGCGATGTACCTGACGCGGGTGAGGCGTATCATTTTAAATACAGTAAATTCACCTTTTCCTCCTCACAACTTGCCAACGCCGAAATGCAGTGCACTGGCAGAGGGCGCCGAGGGGCTGAGCCCCGCTTTGCCC